CATCTAGGAACACGAATGCTGGTAAGTTTGATGGAGGACAGAAACTGCAGGGTGGAGCTTTGCTGAGGGGCAGGGCCTTGCTGAGGGTCCAATCAAACTTTGTTCTAGATCTGCATCCCCCTGCCTTTCCTTGGCGGGCTGGAGGGTCTGCAGCCACCCACCCCACCCACTGCATCACCGCAAGGGGCATCCAGTGCTGTGGGTTGGATGGGGGTGAAGAAGGATCTGGGTTGGGCTCTTTCACCCCATGGACCCTGCTGACCCCCACCCCCGAACAGCCTCGTGTTCTGGTTTGGGGACCTCAACTTCCGCATCGAGAGCTATGACCTGCACTTCGTCAAGTTTGCCATTGACAGCGACCAACTCCACCAGCTCTGGGAGAAGGACCAGGTGCAGAATCCCAGTCCGCACCCTAAATGCCAAACACACAGAGCATGACCCAGCACACTTTTGCATACTACTAGGCTCTGGCTCTTGCCTTCACCTGTCCTGTCCAAGCTGTTGTCCAATTCTGCCCTTTTGGACCTTCACAGCTCAACATGGCCAAGAACACCTGGCCCATCCTGAAGGGCTTCCAGGAGGGGCCCCTCAACTTTGCACCCACCTTCAAATTTGATGTGGGTACTAACAAATATGATACCAGGTGAGCTCAGCACTGGGATGAGGTGGAGACATGGGCTGAGGTCTTCTGGATAGGGAAGAAAGGGAAGAGGATTGGCAAGAAGCAAGGCTGGGGGCTGTGCCTCAAACCCCAGCCCCTGAAACTTGGGTCACCCCTGCCTACTTCAGTGCCAAGAAGCGGAAGCCAGCCTGGACAGACCGTATCCTGTGGAAGGTCAAGGCTCCGTGTGTGGGTCCCAGCCCCTCAGGACGGGAAAGCCACCGCCTCCAGGTGACCCAGCACAGCTACCGCAGCCACATGGAATACACAGTCAGTGACCACAAGCCCGTGGCTGCCCAGTTCGTCCTGCAGGTGAGTCCTGGCCCCATCCTCCCGTCATGACATCCCCAGGTCCAGCTCAGCATCCCATGGCCCACCAGTAAGCCCTTGCACCTGCCCTCAGCAGCATCCATTCACTGCAGCGGAGTGGGAGTGGGTTATGATCTCCATTTTTAGATGAGGAAACTGAGGCTTAGAGACACGGCATCACATCAGGGTCACACAGCTGGTAAACAGAAGAATTAGGATTTGAACCCAAGCTAGTCTGTTTTCAGAGTCCATGCCTTCTTCACTAATCCCTAACTCTGTTTTTCTGATAAAGGATTAAGACCACTTTTTTTTTTTAAAGATTTTATTTATTTATTTGAGAGAGAGAGAATGAGAGACAGAGAGCATGAGAGGGAGGAGGGTCAGAGGGAGAAGCAGACTCCCTGCCGAGCAGGGAGCCCAATGCGGGACTCGATCCAGGGACTCCAGGATCATGACCTGAGCCGAAGGCAGTCGCTTAACCAACTGAGCCACCCAGGCGCCCAAGACCACTTTTATTAAAATTCACATTTTATAGTCACATAATAAGACCAGAAAAATCAAAATGTTTATTCAAACTCCATATAGCCTTCATTCATATTTATTCATTATTCATTTACCATTTTACCATGTGCCAGGCACCATGAGTAAGGTAGTAATGGGGAGGAGGAGTAGAGAGATGAAAATACAAAGAATTTTATATTTTAGTTAGCATAGTATAGTTAGTATAGTATAGTTATCGGCTTGTACCGGGTGAGAAGGGCATTGTGTTTAGGGTTGAGGTCTCTGGTTGCCAAAGTAAAAAGGAGAAATGCTAGATGTCAGAGCTGGACCTGAGAGACCATGTAGTCCAACACTCTGTTTTTCTATGGGGAAACTGAGGCCCCCTCAATAGGGTAGGCATGTACCCCCAAGCTACACAGCGGCTCAGCAGGGGAGAAAGGTAGATCCCATCTTTCCAGTCCTGAAACCCAACTCTGGACTCTCCGATTCCTTTCCTTGATCTGATAAGAGGGAGTCTGCAGGCCAGAGAATGTTTTCCCTGGTAACTTTGTCATGTGGTCCGTCAGTGGGACATTGGCCAGTATCCTCAACTGGGAATGGAAATCTGCCCAAGTTGGGCCTCCCATGACCTTTGGTAAAAGACTTGGGTGTGAGGTTTCACCCTCAGTCAGGGGCCTCACCTTGAGAACCACTCCTTTTGGGTGCCCTACCCTGACCTTCCCTCCTCATCAAGGTCTCTGACCCTTGCAGAAATGAGCACCTACTGCATGCCAGGCCCTGGGGCTCTGTCATCCTTTGAATGCCTTTGTAGGCCCTGAGACATGCAAATTCTCCTCCCAAGAGGCTCAGAGAACTTAAGTCTCTTGACCAAAGCATTTTGACCTTGCGAGGCCCCGGAGAGCATTTCCAAGAGGCCACCCTGGGCAAACCTGCTGTTAGGAACCTAGGAACAGGGAGAGGATGCTCTGGTTTCTTCTGAAACAGCCTGGCTCAAAAGCTGAGGAGGGAGGGAAACCCAAAACCTGGTAAATGGTGGTGGGGGGGTAGTAGACAAAAGCCTGAGGCTGATACACCATCCTCAGTCCTTCCCTGAGGTGGGAGCAAGGGCAGAACGAGGGCTACCCTATTCACTTCAAAGCTGTATTCTTTTTTTTTTTTTTAAAGATTTTATTTATTTATTTGACAGAGAGACACAGCAAGAGAAGGAACACAAGCAGGGGGAGTGGGAGAGGGAGAAGAAGGCTTCCCGCAGAGCAGGGAGCCCGATGCGGGGCTCGATCCCAGGACCCTGGGATCATGACCTGAGCCGAAGGCAGACGCTTAACGACTGAGCCACCCAGGCGCCCCCAAAGCTGTATTCTTACTCCCTAAGGAGGCTGCGGGCATAAAGAGCCCTGGGCTGGGAGGTGGGAAGCCTGGCGTTTATCCTAGACCTGTTCTGCCTTCGCTTCCCAATCCGTAAGGTGGCTTCAAAGGCTCTTTCTCTCAGTTGATTTGTGCGGACTCAGGCCCAAGGACACTTGGAGGGTCTCCCCTGATGTGGCCCCCGCCCCTGGGCAGTTTGCCTACAGGGACGACGTGCCGCTAGTGCGGCTGGAGGTGGCAGACGAGTGGGTGCGACCAGAGCAGGCTGTGGTGAGGTACCACATGGAAACCGTGTTCGCCCGCAGCTCCTGGGACTGGATCGGCTTGTACCGGGTGAGAAGGGCAGGGACGGTCAGTGCCTCAGGGAAGGGAGGGCCTGGGGAAAGCAGCCAGGGGCCCAGGGGGATCACTGGCTTCTCCAGAGTTTGTTGCTACCCCGGGAGGCTGCTGGAGTCAGGCGAGAGGAGACACCACCCTGAATCCTCTCACCCCAGGTGGGTTTCCGCCACTGCAAGGACTACGTGGCTTACGTCTGGGCCAAACACGAGGATGTGGATGGGAACGTCTACCAGGTACTGAAAGGGAGGGGGAGGGGGGGAGGAAGTCCCCATTGCCCTTGGGGCTCGGGACTTGGCTTGGGCAGTCCTTGAGGCTGCCTCCCTGACCCCAACCTGGGCCTATGTCCTGGGCCCACCAGGTGACCTTCAGTGAGGAGTCACTGCCCAAGGGCCATGGAGATTTCATCCTGGGCTATTACAGCCACACGCACAGCATCCTCATTGGCGTCACTGAGCCCTTCCAGGTGAGTAGGTCAGACTGCGGGATCGGGGGTGCTAAAAGACCCTGTTCAAACACCACAGCCTCTGCCTTCTGCTCCATGATCTCCTGCAAGTAACCTGACCTTCCCGGCTCTGCTAACGGGCAGGGTGGGAGTGGCTCCAAGACGCCTTCCGCGGCTGGTTGGGGCACAGGGCAGCCCAGTAACCGGCCTCCCCCCCAGATCTCGCTGCCCACCTCGGAGCCGGCCAGCAGCAGCACAGACAGCTCAAGTGCCAGTTCAGAGGATGAGGATGACAGTACCCTGGAGCTGCTTGCATCCAAGTCCCGTAGCCCCAGCCCTGGCAAGTCCAAGAGACACCGTAGCCGCAGCCCAGGCCTGGCCCGCTTCCCTGGCCTTGTCCTGCGGCCTTCATCCCGTGAACGCCGTGGTGCCAACCGAAGCCCCTCACCCCAGAGCCGCCGCCTGCCCCGGGTGGCCCCCGACAGGAGCAATGACAGTGGCAGCCGGGGCAGTAGTGAGGAGGGGCCCTCTGGGCTGCCCGGTCCCTGGGCCTTCCCACCGTCTGTGCCTCGAAGCCTCGGCTTGCTACCTGCCCTGCGCCTGGAGACCGTCGACCCTGGTGGTAGGGGTTCCTGGAGACCTAATCGGGAGGCCCCAGCCCCCAGTAGCCAGGGCCGGCAGGGGCTGGAGGAAGGGGGTCTGGGGCCCTGAGGGTGGGTGGGTGGATGGGCCCAGGTGGCCGCCACTGTGCCCTGATCTCCTGCAAACCCACCTGTGTTCCTTTTGCTGCTGCTCCAGCTTCATCCGCACCTGCCACTCTGTCTTGGCGAGGGGTGGCCAAGTGGGGTCCCCCAAACTCAGTCCTGGCACCTCAACTGTGACAATCAGCAAAGCCCTATCGGCCCCCATCTGAGATGGGGGGGGGGGTTGCAATCCTGGAGGTCATCAATTAGAAATTAAATTCTCCAGCATCACTCCTGACTCCTTCCTAACTTGTTAGCAGTCTGAGGGTGGGGGTAGTCAGAGGAAGGGACTAAAGAGGCAAGAGGATGATAGATCTGACAATTACCAGGAACCAGCCGTATACATTACACATGCCATCTCTTTTAATCTGCACCACAACCCTGAGTTGCGGTGTGTTCAGTGCAATTCTTAGACCTATTTCACAGGTGGGCAAACTGAGGCCTCCAGGAGGTGAACCTCTCAGAATCAGATGCCTAACCACAGTCTGGCTATATGTTAGAGGGAGAGAACATTTACTAGGTGCTAAGCATTCTCCATGTATTGGTTTACTTAATCCTCAACAATCCTATGAGGTAGGTCCTGGTCACACTGCCCCTTTTCAGAGGAGTTACTAAGGCCCAGAGTGGGGAAGGTCCCTCGTTCAAGGACACAGAAGAGATTTGAATTTGGGTTTAGGGTAGTAAAAAATGGTCCAGGGCTGGGCCAGGAAGGGCACAGCAGCTGTTGAGAAGGGATCCCCCAGGGAAGAGTTGGGAAGCACCCCCTAGCACCCTCCCCTTTCCTGGATTCAGATACAGGCGCTTCTGTGACATCCCATTCCCCACCTGCTGCCTCAGGCCTCAGCAAGTAGGTGCTTGGGGCTCCTTGGACAGGCTTTTGAGATATGTGTTCATTTTGCAACCTGGAGATACGTGTACCTCCTCCTGGTACCTCCTGAGGCTGCTGTAATAAAAGTTACCCTTTCCCCATTCCCATCTGGCAAGGCCCAAGCCCAGGGCATCAGAATGCGCCTCCTGAACACCACATCCAAGCACAGAGGGGTTGTATCACCAGCTCGAGATCACTCAGCACAGCAGGAGACGTGGTCCAGCATTTTAGCCTTGACTCTCGTTGCCGCCTGGCTGTCCACAGGGGCCCGAGCCATGCTTCAGTCTAACACATGGAGAGGAAGCCAAGACCCCCTGGGGCCTAGCAGAGCTAGGGGCAGTGTCCAGTCTGGTGCCCAGGAGAGCTGGAACTGAGATCATTCCGTTCTAGGATTTCTGCTGCCCTATGGGTCTCCGGGCTGCCTGGGTCAGCTGCAGGCAGCGGTCATAGAATGACATGGTGGCTCTTGGGTGATCTGAAGGCCACACCTGCCCCTCACCTGTGCCCACACCCCAGAGCCGGCGTCGGCTCTTTTGAAGTCGCCGCAAATGCCCGGCTGTCACCTTGATGGCCCTAGGGTCTCTGGAACAGCTGTGGGTGGAGAAAAGTGGGGCAGGTGGTCATGGTTTTAGGTTAGGAGTAAGAGTTAAGCAAACATTTAACTATGTGCCAGGCAGGCCTTGGGCTCTGTGTGTCACAGTGTCACACATACCATTTCCTTGGTTTCTACAAGCTTTTTACAAATAAGAAAATGGAGGCACGGAGCGGTGACTGAACTTGCTAGGTCGCATAGGAAGTGACAGAGTCAACATGGACCCATACAAGCCAACTGCAGAGCTGCACCTGGAGCACCAGGGAGTAGGGGGATGATGACGATGGAACTCAGAGGTGCCTTAGCCCCTTTCCCCATCCCTTTGGCCCTGGCACACAAAGGGAGGATAGGTAACCCCCCCTTGGGAAAATGCCCCCTCCCTCCTGGGCTTGCCGCCACTTACCTTTTGCCCTCAGCACAGTCCAGTGGAGGGGCCAGCTTGAAGCAGGTCATGCCTAGCAGCTCCCAAAGCATGTTGGTGCCCGCAGCTGGGCTCTGGAGCCTCAGGAAGCGTGCCAGACTGAGGGCAGAGGCAGGCTTAGGCTAGGGCAGGGCCTGGCCACCCGGGAGCCCCCTCTCCGTGACTGGCAGCAGGCTGCCCACCCCCAATGGTCCAAGCAGGCCTCACCGACGTGTGCAGTTGCAGTGGAAGAGGGGCTCATGGGCACTATTGAGCAGTTGGAACTTGGTTTCCTGAGGCCCAATCTGCTGCTTGCATTGATCCAGACGGCGCAAGCCGCGGCAGGCCCAGCGGGCATCTAGGGGGGGGGGGGGGGGCATGGTGGTGAGGGGAGCCCAGTCCCCCAGCAAAGCCCCACCAATGCCCACTGCCATTTAGGGGAAGCATAGGCACACGTGCTCAGTCACATAAAGACGGTGTCCCCTGTCTCATGTCCTTCCTGCCTTCAGAATGCTACACACGTCTCACACACACATGCACACGCACACTCACATGCACACACAGCAGTGCCACCATAGAGCCCAGAATGTTGGTCAGGAAAGGCTTTTTGGAAGAAGAGACTGCTAAGCAGAGACAAGAAGACTCGGCAAGAGTGCTCCAGGCACAAGGAACTGCATGCGCAAAGGCCCAGAGGTGGGACAGAGCAAGCTGCTTTTGAGGAACCAAATGAGGCTTTCAAGACTGGAGTTTCAACTGGGGAGTAGAGTCTGCAGGACCAGCACCTGAGGGCCCCTGGGTATTGGGACATCATGAGTTAAGAGGAGCCATGGTGGGGGCTCAGTGAGGAATGATATGGGCAAGTTTAGGGCTTACGAAAATCCTTCTAGCTGCAATGTGACTTGATGGGAGAGGTTGGGACACCCCAGGAAGAGTTTGGAAAAGGGAAGGAAGCAACACAGGGCCCCTCAACCCCGCACAGAGGCAGGGACACCTTCCCACATCAGGAACCCCCAAAGTTAAGTTCTGAGCTCACCCTGAGGTTTTAGGCCATTCTGTGGCCCCTGGAAGCCTGGATGGGTGACCTCCAGCCAGGCTGTGGGGGACATATCAGGTTTGGTGGAGGCCACGGGGACATGGATGGCTGTGGTGTTGGTTTTGTGGGGGTGCTTAGACCCTTTCCATTGTGGCGGCCGCTTCTGAGAACGTTGCTTCTGCGGAGGCCTGCTGGGGGCTGGGCTCTGGAGGCTGGGAGTCACAGGGGTGGCCAGGGAGCTCCAGGAGGCATTGTAGAAGGTCCTCCTGGACTGGAGGCGGGCAAGGGGTATGGAGCCATATGTTCTACACCTGGAAGGTGGCAATTGGTAACTCACAACCCCCCCACCACACACAGAAACCCCAGGTTCATCTCCATGGAGACCAAGCCTCTGTCAGTGTCATCCCTTGTCCCACTGGCCTATGTGGAGCACCCGAGGAAGGTCTGCATCCTGGGCCCTGTCCTGAGGAGAGCACAGGGAGGATGAGGTATCATTCGCTGGAGGATGGACAAACAAAGCCTCCCTCCCAGGGCTTGGAGCCCAGGCTCCCCCTCTGGCTGGGAAGGGGATTGAAGGGGGCAGCCACATACCCTCCCCACCAGTACCACGCCACACAGGCCTCCTGTTCCTCCAGCTCGAAGCAGGGGATCTCCAGCACATTGAAGAAGGCCACACCCACGATGTCCGAGATGGAGTCCTGCTGGTTCTGCAGGCATTGCTGGAACCTGCCCGAGAGCTGGCACTCAGGTCCCCGTACCAAAGAGGGCCACCCCTCTCTTCCTCCGAGACCACCCAGTCACTACCATGCAGGTGGTTTGGGATCCAAGGGTCTCTTCTCCTAGGGCTCAGCTTTCCCACCTGCACGGTGGGGTCTGGCGGGCTGATCCTTTAGGATTCTTTGGAATCCCAGTCTCTGCACCCAGGAACTATCCCACCCCTGAGCCCCCGGCCCTCTCTGCCCACTGCCAACCTGGCATCACAGTCACAGTGGGAGATGGTGTGGAATCGGTAGTTTCGGATGCCATAGTTGTACTGGAAGGGCGAGATGTTCTGTGGGCAATGGTCGTGTTCCCGGCAGCAGAGATCAGGGCCTTGGAAGACCCCTGCAGGAGGCAGAGGGGGCACCAGCTGAGCAGGGTCCTGGGCACCCCATGCTGGCTTATGCCTTGCTGGTGCAGGGAGCAGGGACCTTGTCTTGCCCCAGCCCTGACACAGATACCCTGGGTGGCCTCAGGCCACTCTCCCTCTGTGGGACTCTCAGTTTCAAAGCTTGACGAGAGCAACCAGGCACAGCCTTTATTGGGCGGCTCCAAATGCTGGGCAGCCCACCCAGGAGCCCTTGTTCGGGAAAGGGACTTCCTCAGGGGAAGTGAAGTCTGCCTCCAGAGCTCCCAAGCTCATGCCCCAAATAAAACTCCAAAGTTATGAATGTGTGCAGAATGGAATGGCAAAGAGGCAGAGTGCGTCCTTTCTCGCTGGCATGATGAGGCATTGCCAGGATGCCAGTCTGCTCCAACTCAGGTGCCAAAGCCTTCTCCAACCCACCATGCGTGCACAAAGACAGCTGTACCGAGTGCAAAAAAGTCATCCAAGTTTGTTACCGTTACTGAGCATTTCCCAAGTGCCTGACACTCCCCACACCCAAACTCACAGCAGCTCTGTGAGGGAAATGTCATCTCCATGTACCTGTGAGGAAGCCAAGGTTCAGAGATGGGAAGTGACTTGTTCAGCTTGAATTTGCTAACCCAGGCCTTTGGGTCTTGGCGTCCCCTCCCCTGGGCATCCTGCCTCATAAAGCCTCCTCTTGGGTAATGGCTTTTTGGCTCAGCCAACCTTGGACCCACCCCAGTCCAACCCCTCCCAGGGACGGTGATTAATGAGGACTCCGAGGTTTGACTAGGACGTTTCCCATCTACGACCTAAATTAAGCAACCCATGATGAGACTTAGGGTCACCCCCATTTTACAGATAAGGACATTGAAATCCCCCACGGACACACAGCCTGGGAGAGTTGGGGCCAGGGCGAAAACCAGCACTTCCCTCCCCTGCCCCCCAGTCCACACCCCCATGGCTCACCCAGCTCCGAGGAGCTCCCAGCAGAATCCCCTACTCCACACCACAGCGTGCCAGGCATGGTCCAGCCTCTCTTCACCCGCTGGGGTCTTCTGCTGCCAGGTGCTCTGCTGTGTCCTGCTTGCTCCTCCCTGGTCCCTGCTGCTCGCTTCTCCCTAGCCCCTGCTGGACCCTCTTCAGGCCCTCGGCAGGCGCCCCCCTGACTCTGAAGTGTGGCCAGGGCTCTCTGCAGCTCGGGTCCAGGAGTGTGGATGAAGGAGCCCCGGGTGATCTCACCAGCACAGAGGGCACTGAAGGCTGCGGTGAGCTCTGGCTCGTCTCGCCAGCTACACGCTTGCAGCCTCCCGTGCCTGTCCCAGTGGGCCTGGAACAGGGCCAGTCCTTGGGCATCCTTTCCCAGGAAGCTCAGTGTCCCCAAGGGGCTGCCGGGGGTGGGCCTGACCAAGTGGCAGGAGGTGCTGTCCCAGCGGAGGGCAGAAGAGACCCCCCCAGCCACTCCCAGGAAGCTCAGCATCCCTAACAGCACTACCGGAATCCCCATTCCGTCCTAGACCAGCTCAGTCAGACAAAGCCCCCAGGACACCAACCCCCGGCAGCCCACGAGGCAGCAGCTTTAGCAACTGAGCGGAAGCAGTGCCCTGCAGACCCGGTGCAGCGGGGCCAATGAATGGAGCTTTGGGAGGAGTAGGAAGGAGGCTGGAGTATGGGGTGATCTCGGGCTTGTAACTGAATCCACCGGCTGGGCAGGCTGCTGATTGGCCAAGGAGTGCACTTGCCAGGACCCACGCCCCCATTCACCATGCCTTTCTCATCCAGTCACCTGCTGCCAGCCCGCCTGGATGGGGACTGTGAGAGCCAAAGCCTTGGGCTGTGGGACAGAGGGCCAGGAGAGGATCTCTATCTTCCTGGGGAGGGAAGGGGGTTCAGGGGCTCAGAGGAAGCTCCCAGAACTCGTCCTCAGCCCCTTGCCCCAGGGAGACTGCCACACCCACCTCCACGAAGTTGGCAGGGGGCCATGGCCTCTGCCAGACCTATGTGAAGGAGCTGAGCGCAGGGCTGGGGCCCTGTGGCCACACCACTGGGAGCTCCTGAGGCTTCTGGGAAAGGGGGCGTCCATCCCCTGGCCACCTGGGATACACCACCGCCCAGGACTGGTTCTAAGAAAGCCTCTCGGCATAATCAGGGGACAGCGTCCTGGGGCTCCCCACTTCCTGGGACTCCCAGACACAGGCCTGGCCGAGCAGCAACCCTCCTGGTCTGATATATGGTGGAGACAGAGCCAGAGCCGGCCTTGAGAGCAGGGCATGGGGCAGGGCTAATGCTCTGGACTTGAAGGGACTATAGGTCCCAGAGGAGTGGAGGGCTGGGCAGAGGGCTGAGTCTGCAGCCATCTCCATGCTTGGACTGTTGCCACTAGTGGGACACAGCAGCCCCTCATGTGTTCCCCAAGGGACAGGAATGGTCTCTCCATCAGGGAAGGGCTACCGCCAGCCCTCTGTATTCCAAAGCTAACGTATCATCCAGCTCCCAACCGTCCAGGAAAGCTGGGATGCTTGCACCCACAGTGCAGATGAAGAAACTGAAGATCACTGAGGGTGAGGAAACTTCAGGTGACAGGCTCCAGGGAGGGAGGGCTTCGAAGCTGGCAGCACAGCTCTTGGAAAGCTTTGCTGGGAAGTCAGGGCTGCCAGGGACAGTGATTTCTCTGTCTGTCTGTCTGTCCGTTTGCACATCAGCCTCCCGCTCCCCCAACATCCCTCTCAATCTCCATCCCAGAATCTTCCAGGAGGGCGAGCCCCAGTGAGGCAGAGCCATGGGCAGAGCTGGGGAAGGGAAGCTCACTGTACATAGCAGGGAGAAGGGGGGTGGCCGGGAGTGCAGGCCCATCTCTGTGCTTCAGAACCAGCCTGGGCCTGCGGCTCAGAAGGTCGTGGCTGGGGACAATGAAAAGGGAAAGAGGGTGGGAGTAGCCCAGGAGCCAAACTCCTTCTCTCAAGAAGCTGGGAAAGGGGGTGTGGAATAGAGAGAGTGGTGGCAGGAAGGGTAGGGAGACCTGGGGTTCCCAAAGGTAGGGACACCACTGAACAAAGGTGGGTCCCTCTGGAAAGAACTCTACTGTTTGGAAACCATGTTCTGGTCATTTTCCCCAGTTGTAGGAATGGCCACCCACCTCTGCCCCCTTTTCCGTATTACAGAGCCCATCACCCAGGAAGCCTGGGAGGTCCCATGGCAGGAACTGAACTTTCAAGGTCAGACATACCTAACTTGGGTCCTGGTACTGTGTGGCCTCAGGCTTTGAAGTCTTAACTTCTCAGAGCCTCAGTCTCATCTGTATGATGGGCATAATCACAGTAGTCAGTTCACGGGATGTTGGGGAAGACTCTCTGCACAGTGATTGGCCTCCAAGACCCTGTCACTAAAGCCTCAGGACATCCCTGGGCAGGAAACAATTTGGCCAGGAGAAAGCAAGTCCCCAGATTTTCAGACCACAGCACCCACGAGAGCTAGTCCCAGCTAGGCCATGACCTGGTTGTACGACTTCAGGCCAGTCCCTGCCCCTATCTGGACCTTGGTTTCCTCTGTACAGTGAAGAAAACAATGGAAGTGACCTTTGAGGTCTCTTCCTGTCTCGGCCCCAAAGGAAGGCAGGTAGGGGCCTGTCTAGGCCTCGAGGGAAGGTGTCACTGGGTTTTCTCTTCAGATTCCACCCTGTGGTCATGTCAGTCAACCTACAGGATAGACTCTGGAGCCCTGCTTCCCATTGGAGTGCCCCTCAGAGGCCTTGGCACAGAGGATCCCAGGAGCCAAACCAGCAGGATGGGACAGGCCCGGCCCTACAGACAAAAGGGGAGCCGAGGCTTTCCTCTGGATCCCCACCTGTCTGGGGTGGGGCAGGGTGCACAGTGGGTGCCAGGGAGGGTGAGAGGCAGGGGTCCATGGAATCTGATCATTTATCCCTCTCTCTGCCCAGCAGTCCTCATCGCTCTGTCTCCTCGGTCTTCTCTCTCATCCTTCTGTCTCTTGGTCTCTTTCCCTCTCTGGCTCTGATTCTCCTCGTTTATTTCTCTCTCTCTCCTCCCTCCCTCCCTTTCTATCTCATTTCTTGGGCTCTTCTGGCTCTAAGTATCCCTGTCCTCTCCCCAAACTCTCTTTCCCTCTTTTTCCTGTTTCTCTCTTAATTTTTTCCCCTCTCTTTGTTTTCCTCTCTTTTTGTTTCTTAATGTCTTCTTGTTTCTCTCCTCCCTTCCTCTTCTCTTTCTCATTCCTTCCCTTGTTATGTCTCATAGTTTCCTCGTTTGTGTGTGTGTGTGTCTGTGTGTCTGTTTCTTTCCCTTCATTCTTCTCTCTTCCTGCCTTTTCTGTCTGTTCTCCCCCTCCACACCCTGACCCCAGGCCCAGGACCCAGTGCCTCTTGCCCTTTCCAGGCCATGACCTCATCTGATGCTCACAACCCCTGCCCCTCCCTAGGGAGACAGGCAGGGCAGGGCTTCTCATCCCATTGTTGAGATGGATGGAGTGAGGTTCCAGAAGAGAAGTAACTTGCCAGGAGTCGCATAGTTGACCAGGTGAGAAGACAGGTCAGATTTTTCTTGGCCTGTGGGGAGGACCTCCCGTGACCCTGGGAGGCTCTTGGCTCCCCTACCACCTCCTCATCTCAGGGATTTCCTCCCCACTGCCTGGAGCCCTTGGAGCTTGCATTCCCCAGCCCATCTGGAGGTCTCTCTGCAGCTCTCTGTGCCAGGAGAATGGTGCAGGCAGTGCCTAGCTCCAGAACATTCTGCGTTCATTTGAAAACAAATAGCTATCAGCGTCT